TGGAGACGACAAAATCAATCAAGAACATTTCTTATGGGGCGTGGCTTGGCAGCGATGACATGTTTAACTTACCATATGCGAGTCGATATAAATGGATGAGGATGCGCATGAAGAAGTGTTGAACAATCTACGAGTTGTTTATGAATAGTGAGTCGGAAAAAGTTTTGATGTATTCTCATGAGATGAATTTTCTTTAATTATATTGAGTGGTGAATTGAGAAAGTGTTCGCGATCACATTTGAGAGATTGTTTTTATTTCTATTGAACTAAGTGGTTGGGAGAATCACTTAAATTAGTTTGAGGGATTCAAACTAGAAAAATCTCAAGGGAGTTGTGGTCGGATAAGTAGTAGTGTAGATATGTTACTTCAAGTATAGTGTGGAGGGAGTCTACATTGTAAACCCTTGAGTAATGGCTCTGAGATCTACATTAGTGAAAAAGATCCGTAAGGAAAGTGGGACACTCACTTAAAGGTTCATTTCAAACTAATTTTGTTTCCGCAATTGTGTGAACTTACTTATGTTTACTACTTCATTATATTAAGCACCATTCTGGTTGTTTTCGTATACCCGTATACAACGTCAATTAGCACCAGAGCGAATTTTTGTACACATTACGAAGGTTTTGAGGACTTGTGGATTTGGCAATCATGAATCAAGAAAGTGGATCAATGTTTAGGCCTCCGCAATTGGATGGTTCAAATTACTCTTACTAAAAATCTATGATGACGATTTTTTTTAGATATCTTGGAAAAGATGCTTGGGAGAGTGTCGAGAATGGGTGGGAACATCCAGTCATGCCAGAAGAACCAGATCAAGGAAAAGGATCTTCATCGGTTGTTGTTCTTAAACCGAAAGATCTCTGACTGATGCTGAAAAACTTCAAGAAGAAGCAAACTATCGAGCCATCTATGCGATTATGATGGCAGTTGATTAGACACGACACAAGATGATAGTTCAATGCAAGACAGCGAAAGATGCTTGGCGAGTTCTACAACGCCAGTTTGAAGGTTCAACGACAGTCAAAGCGTCCAGACTTCAACGAGTAACTCTCGAATTTGATGAAATCAAAATGCGGGATGAAGAGACGATTGATATGTATTATACCATATTTTGTGATCTGGTAAACCAAAGTGGGATAAGGATTGGTAAATTAGAGTGTAATATGGTGTAAGTTATTTTTAGTGGAGTTACGTTCAAAGAATCAATCCCGGAGTCGTCAATCGAGAAAGACTTGTCGACTTAATTTATGCATGAATTATAAGATCAGAAAATCAAATAAGTTCTTAAACACTCTTATTCAAACTTTGAGATGATTTAATGTCAAATCACGGATAAAATATTTTTATTTATCGAAATTGCGCGTATTAACCTTGTAATTTAAAATTTACAAGATACTCCTTTATTAATGTTAACTGTTGCGCGAGGCCCCTATATTCGTCCAATTTAACGTGTGCCTTGCACGCGTCGTTGCGGGGACTCAATTTTTCATTTTATATATTTGTGAAGTTATTTTATACTTTTTATTTGTATGTTGTGCAAATATTTCAAGGGTGCTAAAGGTAGTTGTTACGATCGTGTATCGAAGGTAAAGAAAATAAACGAAAATGTGTTAAACCCGCACTAAAATTGTCGTCGGTCGACACGAGCTTGGTGCTCAAAGTTGAGCGATTTTTTATATGTTATTGCTTAATGATAAGAAAAAAAATCCTACACCTTACACAGTGTTGTCAGTATTTCTACCGGAGTAGAATCGAAAGATTCATCCCCGGGTCGTGTCGCAAGGAAGGTTAGCCGGAAATTCTTGTGCGTATATTCAATCACGAAAAAGAGAAGAAAAATTCTAAACACTCTAATTCAATATTCTTGGGTTTCAATTATCAACTACTGATTTAAACTGAATAAAATGAAAGCAGAATAGCAAATGAATTTACTGAATGATTAAAGTGCTAGGGAATCGGGGATAATTGTTTTCGGTTCTAACACAATCACCGACAATCGATTGCTCGGGTAAAGGTCTTGAATCGTTTCTCGTTCAGAGGTTCACTCTCAATAACTCTTCGTAACAAGAGAGTGAACGTTAACGATCCACTATCAATTCCAACAACACATAGATTATACGCTTCCGAACAAATCTATTCTAAACGAGCCTAATTCGACCAATGTCTCCCCTCTCGGTTCTACACGTTGATTATCTAGGTTAGAAAGGTGATCAATCTACTAACCCTATGATTCACACAACTCGAATAGACATGAACAATCAAAAGCACTCAATTATAACGAACCTAATCAATCATCCCCTATCCCTAGCGAATGAATTTAGCTACTCATAATGAATTTAATATCAACATTCATATAAACCCAAGTCATCATCATCAACAAAGCAATTGAGAAAAATAACTTACGATTAATGATAAGAATCTAATGTCAAATCCAAGTGAACAATCCAAATCCAAATCGAAAAAAATAGGAGTTTTTCAATCTCCAAAACAAATCAAAAGTGCAAAAGGATGAAAAGGAATGAGTTTCTCTCTAGAAAGAACGTAAAAATAAAGTCTGAAAGTGGAATAATGAATCCTAGGATCGAAATCAGCTCTAAAAATTCTGTCCTCGAAATTCGCACCGGATAAGTCGCGAGTCGCGACTTCACCTTCTTCCCGGTCGCGAGTCGCGACTTCCTCGCGAGTCGCGCGTCGTAAAAAATCTAAACTTCTGGGGTAGGTCGCGACTCCGTCTCGTGAACTGCACATCAAGCCTCAGTTTTTCCCGCAGGTCGCGACATGTTCGCGAGTCGCGGCCCGAGTCGCGAGTTGCGAGAATTTCTGGGCATGGTTTCTGTCCGTTTTTCAGTCCTCTTCGTCGTCCTCTTGGCTCGGCCACGGGAATTCTCGATATCACGGTCTCGGCTCATATAGTCCCAACCTCGACCGACACAACCTACCTCCTGAAAACACAAAACAAGAAAAAACACGAACAAAACACGGGAAAAGACACATGAACATAAACTAAAGGCAAAAACACAAAACGAACGAAATGGACCAAGTAAACTACGAAAAACCTACAAATGGGGGAAAACAAAAAGAAAATAAATATGAAATAATGACACAGAAATGGGACAAACACACAGTCCTTAAATAATAAACCTCAAACACAGCTAAAGTTCCTAGAAAAATACGTGGAAAAACTACTGCTCAATGTCCCCCTTCGTCAGGTGCCGCGGCATGGCTGCTCTCGCGGCGCGGAGGAGCGGACTGCCGCAGTGCGCGCTCGTCGCGGCGTAGCGCCTTGAAGGTCTCGTCTCTCTGTCGGGGTCGTGAGGTGCACCGCGGCGTGGCGAGCTCGTGGCGGTAGCCTTCCGTCGCGGCGTGGTCAGGTCTAGCGGCGCGAGGCCTTGAATTTCTTCCCTTTGGTTTGCTTCCCATCGTTCTGCTTCTTTAATAACTGCTCGACGTGTCCGATTGTATGCATTTTTTAGTAGTCGGTCCTTGTTCGCATTATTTCCGTCCCTTTCAAGTGTGTCTTTGTCCTCAAGGACAAATGTCGGGAATTGATTGCGGATATCTTGCATGTTCTCCCATGTCGCCTCATCTTATAAAAATATCAAAGCTTTATTTACATAGTAGTCCCAAAAAAAGTACAACCCAACGGGGTCAAGGGATGGAAAGCAATAAACCCAGGGACTGGAATGAAAATATCGTGTCATTACAGGGACTTCATGGCGCAATTAAGTAACCCTTTGAAAAATTAAAAATCTGAAACGCAATATACAAATGCACAACCAGAGAGTTTCGCGGTTATTACCCAAAAAAATTAAAGGAATAAATTCATCCTTCGTCCGGTGCCTCTCTCTCTAACACTCCTTTCTCTCTCTAGCCGGCCACGCACTTTCTCGGTCGAATCATAACCTGACACCAGCCGTTGGGAAATCGACGAATTTCGAATCCGTAGCTGTCTGCAATGGCGGTGAACTGAATTTGTTGGGGAAAGGTAAAGAAAAAACAAAAAGGCGTTGTTTTTGTTCTTAAAACTTCTCTTGGGTTCTTAATTACGTTCTTCACTATTTGAATTTGAGCTTTTAGGGAGCTGGACTGTAAAGATTTCATTTTATTTTGTTTTTGTTTTTTGTTTAAATTTGGTGTTGCTTTTCTCTTTCAATTGTTGGCGTTGATCTCATCTGCTACTCTTTTTCTTTTCCTTTCATTCTCTTTTAATTTTGAAATGAAAAAGTGTAACCTTTTGGCGTTTCTTACAAGTCTGATTAAATTTGGCCAGTAACTTGTAAATCTCATTTTGTGCGATTGTGCGTCAGCTAGAAAATTGTGAAGGTTGTTGATTTGAGTACTAAAAGTGTTCTCTAAGTTTGAAATTAATGAGCTCTTTATAGCTTTGTTAAGCTAATGAACTATGGGTAAGTGTGCTGGTGTTTGAGCTCTGGTTTACGCTCGTCTAGTGTGTACTTTTGGTGGGTTGTGAATGATGTAAATCGGAGTTCTTATTATGCTTAGAAATTCGGGGTTTGATCATAAAGTGGATTCCTGTTTCAGGTTATTCGCAAAAGATTGATAGTTTCTATGATTAGTCACTGTGCATCTTTTTTAATGGATAAAATAGCTACAGTGTCTGGGGATTATTTTTTTTTTTCCTTAAGATTTTCATGTTTGAATTCTATGTAGCTCATGCGGCTCAAGTTAAATTAATTGCCAACCTAATTTTAATTTCAGATGTGGAAGTGGGAATCTTGAAAATTCGTTTCCTTTTCCCTGTGCTTTTGCTTCAGCCTTCAGCAGCAATAGCACATTTCTGAAAGAAACTTACTTTACCCCCTTTCATGACATGAGTTCAAATGAGCTTGTGGAGGGAAACTGAGAATTGATAGTTCAGTTTTATAAATTTCCAACTAAGTGTTAAAGAAATTTACCATTTTTCATTTGTGACAGTTCACCTTTATTTTTTCCGCTTTGTGTAACCTTTTGATATCTTGTGTTTTCATTTAGTTTGATTATGGGTCCGCTAAGAAAGTCAAGAAGTGTCAATAGGCGGTATATCAATGAGGTATCTCCAAGTAAAGATGGTGATAGTGCTCAAAGAAGCAATAGCAAGGTGAGATTTCTTGTCCTGAAATTATTCAGTTTCCTGCTGTGCTTAAACTTGTCTAATCCTACTTCTTGTTGTGCAAACTGTATGGTTAAGTGATATATTCTTCTTGATGGGTCCCTCCGCCAAAACCCCAATCATCTCATATAGAGTTTCCCAGAGAACACAGAAACTTGTACAACTCTCTTTTCATTTTCAAAACATTATCATAATTTTTATTGAAATGCATTGCATCATTTTACTTTGTTATAACCTTTCATGATCACTGGCTTCTAAAGATACAAGGAATAGTTTTAAATCCTCCTTTTTGTCGCTCACGCGAGGCAGACATCCTTATCTATCAGTAGAAATTTTTTTAGCTTGTCTTTTACAGAAGAGTTAAAATTTCAAATGTGCAGCAGTGCAAGGGATGGCAAACAATTTTTTTTCTTTTTTTTCTTTTTTTTTAATGTGGGCATTATAGGGAATATCGGAACATTTCAGTGAGTGATAATTTTTGTTTCATTTGTTATTCATGTAATAAAGTCTCGTGAAAAACTGTATTATTTTTTCAAAGAGGATGAGCAGCTTGACTTAATATGTTAGGAATCAGGTACAGTATGATGTCTTGCTAAAGATTTTCACAGCCATGTTATCCATTTTTTTGTTTCTTGATTATTGTCCTTCATTTTTCTTCACCCTGTTCCTTCTAGATAACTTGGAACATAAATTCTAATATTTCTTGTACTCTAAGAAGTGCTGGCTGCATCATTATACCAATTAGTCCCCCTTGTTTGCTGATTTATCAGAAAAGAAAGTTGTCTGACATGCTGGGGCCTCGATGGGCAACAGAGGAGCTGACTCGTTTTTATGATGCTTACCGCAAGTATGGTAAAGATTGGAAAAAGGTTAGTTCGACTATACATTAGATTAGTTGGTGAAGATTCATGTGCATTGATAAAGTAAATTTCTCTTTAATGCTTTAATAAAGACTTGCTCTGAATCAGGCAGGGATTGACATACTCATGAATTTATCAGTTTGTTATATTGGTTAATATAGGTAGCCGGTGCTGTGAGAAATCGATCCTCAGAAATGGTGGAAGCTATTTACACTATGAATAGGGTAAGTTTGCTCGTTGATTTAAGTATTTAACAGTATCGACTGAATTACTATCCTATATTTGAAGCCCAGGAAAAACCTTTATTGACAGGCTATTGTTAACTGGAAAATAACATTTTATGCCTAAAATCAGTCTATATGGTCTATCTATTCATTTATCCTTGAATTGTCATTGTCCCAAACTAAAGTCCTTTTATTACAAATATTTGTCCCAATTTACTCAAGGCAGAATTGCCCATATTTATGCTAGTTGAAAATAGAAAAATGTTTTTGTAATTAAATAGTGAAAGATACAATTTTTGAGAAAATTAGCATAATAATTAGACCTCAGTGATGGCGTATTATTCATTTTATAAGGTTTCATAAACTGTGAAAATTTCTAAAACGACAATTATTTTGAATGAAGGGAGTTGAATTAAATCTAATATTAAAGATCCTGTGCAATAAAATCTAAACTTAAGATGGTGGCGTCGGATAATTTTATTTATTACATATCTATAGTTGCTAATTGTAAATGTTACCTGAGAGTTTTGACAACTAGCGCATGCATAACCATGACAGGAATATTTAGGGACACTCTTTTATGATATTAGGGAGTCATAGTAGGTCCCCACTTGAATACCACATTCTCAGCTCTGTTTTTATAAATGATTAGATTGCTGTTGAAAGTTAGTATCGGATTAAATTATTATCAAACTTGAAATGATGAAGAGTTCTCTCGTTTTTTAACTAGTGAAGATTGTAAGTTGTGTTATAACTAATAATTAACGCGCACCTTGTTCCATATGGTCTGGATTATTTAAATTATAGTTATTCTGCAGTTCCACACCCATAAGCTATGTAAAAGCCGTGGCTGGCACTCATCCAACTCTCGAATTTCCAAATTTCAGAATATTTAACTGTGGCTGGCACAACCATGCTTTATCTATAATTGTTTTTGCGCCCCTTATTTCTGGTGATGATAATTTTTAGCTTTGAATTGCAGGCGTACTTGTCTCTTCCACACGGAACTGCTTCGGCAACTGGGCTGATTGCGATGGTGACTGATCATTATAGCAATTTGGTGAGTTTTTTAGTTCAGATAAAGCTGAAGATACAGAATTGGAAGAAACTTCATTGTTCAAAATATTATGCCATAAACGTCTTACTAGTTATTTGAAATATATCTGTCTGTGAAAATAATAGTAAAAGAAGTTGCTAGAGGTTGTCTTCTTCCTATTTCAGAGCTCTCACCCTAAGCATGTGGATTCTGTTATGTAAGAGCATCACAGTGGCACAATATCTATTTTGAGATGTATATTGTGGAGAAAGGAAATAAAAATATTGTCTCCAATGGTTGATGTCAATTGTAGAATAATTTGACACATGTAAGATAATAATTAGTTGGTGGAGAGAGAAATATAAAATAAATAATATAATGTAAAATAGAAAATGTCTAGAAGTCTTTCTGCATCTAGAAAGACTTCCAGAAATTTTAAATGCCACATTGGATTTTTGAGGCTACGTGGCAATAAAATAAAGCAATCCATGAACCAATGGAGATGCTCTAACACCCCAAGTGTTTAAATTATCCTTTAAGATATATTATTATTATTATTATTATTATTATTATTATTATTATTATTATTATTATTATTATTTTCAAATATTTACGAAATTAGTATTGAGTCATGTAAAGTATTTAGAAATTTAGAAGAATTAGTTGGTTACGAGATTCAAGCATCGGATGGGGATTGAATTTAAGTCAAACATTCAATATAATTATCCACGATGAACTTTTTCAACATATTATATTGTTGATCCATTCCATTCAAACGCTTATTTTAAATAATAATAATAATAATAATTTACTTGGTTACAAGATTTATTTAATTGTATACTTATTATACTTTTACCCAAATTAATTATACTTAAATACAGTTTAGCATTGTATAATTGTAATGGTTCAATTTACATTCACGAATACTGCAATCTATTTCAATATTAAAAACAATTTTTGGAACCTAAACTATGAAAATAAATAGGAGATGTTAAGAAAAATATTATTTGTAAAATATTTAATATTTAACTTGGGGTATTACAGTATACCCACATTAAGATATTATCGTTCTCGAAAGTAACATCTAAAAACAAAGCAAAATAAAATAAAATAAAAATAACTAAAAGTTAAAATTCTTCATTCTCAAATATTACGATTTATTAAGATTTTGTTACTTCCCTTGCTAGCTTCGCCTAAAACTTTTAGGTCCTCTTCCGACCCTTCACAATTTGTTTCCATAAGTTCTTCATATTTTTCCCTAACTCTGGCCCAAGCTGAGTACTAGTTCATAAAAACTGATTCGAGGCGATCCTCACCAATCCTGTTGAGTTCGCTGCATATTTCTCCTGTTGGTGTTCAAGAGTATCAATTGCTTATATGTGAGAAGATAACCCAATTCTCTCAATTATTTCCATAACTCGAACAAACTTCAGAATATTCTCTCCCACTTACAGCCCTTCGGCCGTCACGAACACTTTGAATTCTCGAATTTTCCTTGGAGTAATGCTGTCGGGTCATAAGCCCGACCTTCTACAAGTTTTAAGCATAGAACGTGAACTAATTTTCACGTAAAACATGTTGGAGAATCATAGAACGTAATTTTTTCATTATTTGGTGATTATGTGATATTTACGTGTGACATGTACAACCCCACTAAGCATTTTTGGCTTAGCTCTTTCTTCAAGAAAAATATTTTTAGGCCGAAGAGCTCAGTGAGGCACTGGCAGTAAGGCCAAAGTAATAAGTAATATATTTTATTAATTATCATAAATAATATATTCTATTAATTGTTGATTCTATTTTCTCATGATTATTATATAATGGTGTTCTTTTTGAAAGATTGTATATAGATATCATTCCTAAAAAGTATCGTTCTACTTACAAATGTTTTTGGGATAAAACAAATGTTAATGGGCTAAATTACTGTTTGTACAGAATCATTGTTTGAAATTGTTGAGAAATAGTATTTTAAGTTTCATTTAGGTGGTTGATAGCTCTAGGTGCTGCAGTTTCAAAAACATTGAGTCATTTTCATTATTCTAGCTTCCGCTTAATGTATTATATTTTTTGTAATTATTTGATTAAAGTGCGCAACGATAAAGGATTTTATTTAGTATAGAAATGACTTTTGTTTTAAGCATTTAGGCATTTGTCTTATTGTAAATATCATTTCAAAATTTCAGTGCTCTTTTCTAATGAAAAATATTCTTATGAAAACCAGGACGTTACAATGTGGTATATCTGAGTTGAAAAAAAAAATTATATATATATATATATATATAAATATAAATTAGAGTCAAGTTAATTCTCAAAATATATTTAGCTACCATTTTTTATTTTTAAAAAAAATTGTATTTTGTCAGTGTCTATCACCGCCATGCCACACTGACTCTGACAAGGTACACATTAGATATTTATGTTTTTCTCCATTATGCATTACAAGTTTCAAGTCAATATTTTAAAGTTCAAGTTTAAGTTTTCTGTATGAGGACTTATGTTATTATGTTATTAATGTTTATGCGCTTCGCAAGCAGAAGTTATGATTTCAAACTTATTGAGGTATGGTATATTTCAAGTTTGAATCTTTAGTCAAGTCACTAGACATTTTAAAATTTGAAAGCATGAGATGTTTTAAGTTTCAAGTATACATTTTCCGAGTTGCTCACGCAGATATTTATTTCAAGATTTACGACCATCATATTTAATGCAAATTTCAAGAGCACATTTTATATAAATCAAGTCATTTTCTCATTAAACTTGTTTGCATACATGACCTAGATAGATGACGCATATGCTTCAAACCTGTAGAAAGTTGAGCTTAGGACCCGACAACATTACCTCAAAGAAAATTCGAGAATTCAAAGAATTCATGATGGTAGGAGGGCTGTCAGTGGAGAAAATATTCTAAAGTTGGTCAAGTTTTGGAAGAATTGAGAGAATCCAGTTATCTCCTCACACATAAGGATGGAATTAATAAACTCTTGTTGCCACCGTTTTGGAAAACTGTATGTTGCAAGAGAAAAACGCAGCGTACTTAGGAGGATTGGTGAATGATCGCTTCGAGTTTATGACCTGGTACTCTGCTTGGGCGGGCGTTGGGAAAAATAGGACCTATGGGAATGAATGGTGAAGGGTCGGAAGATGACCTAATAGTTTTAGGCGAAGCTAGCAAGAGAAGTAACTAAATCATTTTAATTGATAATGAAGAATTTCTATCTTTTGTTATTTTGTTTTTTAGATCATTATTTTCGAGGATGAAAATATTTTAACGTGGGTAAATTGTAAAGTGAAATATTTTACTAATAATATTTTTCTTAACCTCTCCTATTTATTTTTATAGTTTAGGTTCCATAAATTGTTTAAATAAATTGTAGTATTCTAAATAGAATAATTAAAATTATATTTTAGTATACAATTAATTTGTGCAAAAGTATAAACAAGAAAACTAATAAATAAATTTTATAACCAAGTAAATTATTATTGTTATGCAAATTCAAAATATGAGTTTGAATGGAATGAATCAACTTCAGTATAATATGTTGAAACAATTCAACGTGGGATAATTATTTTGAATATTTGACTCAACTCATAGACTTAAATTCAATCCCCATTCTTTTAAAAATTTCTAGATACTTTACCTGACCCAATACTAATTTCGTAAACATTTGAAATTAAACATAACCATTAGTAATAATAATAAGCATGGTAATAATATCATTATTAATATCAATAATGATATTATTATTAATAATAATAATCTTAAAGCATAATATAAATTCTTGGGGGTCACGTTACTATCTATGCAATGTGTGAAGACTTCTGCATTACCAAAAAATGTCTGTCATTAAATACTAAATAGTAACAATACTCGATTGTAACTCAAGCATATGCAGTTCATAAACCTTAGGGATTTGTTCATGGAAAATCATACTTATAAGTTTGTATATCATATTTTAAATTTGGTGGGAACTGTTATTGGATCATGGCTTGACAGGCAGGAAGTGAAAGTGACCAAGAAAGCAAGTATGGAGTAGGGACATCTAAAAAATCCCAGAAGCGTGTTCGTGGAAAGGCCCAGCGTATGACCTCCAAAGCACCTGATGATCAATTTGTTTCGCATTCACAGACTGTTGCTTCAGATTACGGGTTTCTGTCATTGACAAAGAAGAAACGCTCAGGAGGTATGTTCGAACAAAATCAACTCAAATTTAATATGTGAATGGTTATGAGGAATATCACTCTTCATAATTTACCTGAATGTCGTTTTGTATGCATAAGAAAGTTCCAGGATATCTCTCAATTTTTTGTTTCAAATCCTTTATTGGCCCATGGAATGACATACATCTTCCAAATTTATTGTTCTCTTCCTTACACATTTTCGTGTTATTTCCTCTTTGCAAAGGGCAATTTTATCTTTTCAGGTTATACAAGATATCATAAGATTTGTATTCTGTCGTGTAACTGCACTAACGGAATATTGTTCTGGTAATTTATCTTCATGTTCTTTTCAGGAAATCAGCATTGTCCTGTTGGGAAAAGGACGCCAAGGTTCCCCGTTTCAGTTTCATATGAAAATGTTAATGGAGAGAAATTTGTTTCTCCTACAAGGCAAGGCCTGAAAATCAAAGCTAACGCCAATGATGATGAAGTAGCTCATGAAATAGCAATAGCTTTGGCAGAGGCATCATATATAGGTGGTTCTCCTCAGGTTTCTCGAACACCAAATAGAAGACCTGAGAGTGTTATGCCATCACCATCCAGACGTGTTCAGCAAAAGGTAAGGGAATAGGTTGCTTGGCCTTTTGGTCTGGAATTTTTTTTGTTCATTTGTTACTGCAAATTTGTGATGGACTGAAAAACATGAAGGAAGAATGACTATTATGAGTGTGATTGGGTCTGAGGTGAGTGAATTCATGAATGTGATTTTCAATTAAGAGCTGAATGTGATTGGTGATTTAAGAACTTATAGAATTGTTCTTGAATGATTTTTTAAATAGACGTGTCAAATTCTTTGAGATAGAATTATCTATAGGCAAGCATTGTCTAGATCTCTTCACCTTGTTTCACTTATCTTATAGACCCATTCTTTGCTACAGCATTCTCTACGAGAAACGGCGGATACTAAAATACTGGGTACTGATATGGACAAAGAATTAGAAGCAAGCACAGAGTCTGACAAAGGAGAGTTGTCTAGGTACATACACTCATCGAGAAAGGAGGCAAGAAAATTAGAAGATAAGAGGTTTGAAGTTGACAGTAATAGTGAGGATAATTTGGAAGACAGCATGGAAGAGTATAATGGAACAGAAGAAGATAAAATATCTGGTGTAGCGGGAGACAAGCTTGATGTGGATTTGGATGATGTCAAGATTTCTTCCATGTGCAGTCAAAAAAAGAAGAGCAAGAAGGTTTTGTTTAGAAAAAGTACGACAAATCGTGTCAGTTCTTTTTCTATCATGTTCCAAATCCTTGTTTGTTACTTTGAATTGTTATCATGTTCGTCATTTTGTAGCTGGGATCTTGGAACTTTTCCCTGCTCAATATATTACAACATAAATTACTGATCATGTAATATTTTAATTTTTGCTATTAAAATTCTATTTGTTCCTGCTTTGCGTCTAATATTTAGGTGTTGTGAATGTAGTTGTGTGACATAGGAGTCTTTTGTATTATTTTAGTACATATAGGTGAAGTCACTGTGTTGAATATGGGATGGTGTGCATTTCAGGTGCCTCAGGTTTGGGAATGCTAGATATATACATAACATGGTCCTTTTCCTTTTTAATGTCACTTGATCTTGGGAAATAATATTTCCCATAGCACGTGGCTGATTCTTTGTCTTTAGTATTATATTGATTACGTTTTTATTTCTAGATGAAACTCCTGCCTTTGATGCCCTGCAAACTTTGGCTGATTTGTCGTTGATGATGCCAACAGAAAATGAAGATGGTAAGCAACCTACGATTTTACTTGTTTAATTGATTTTTGATGGTTGAGATCTAGTGCATATGTACGTTAGATAAATGTTTAGGATACTTATTATGATATTGCCTAGGGAAATTTTATCAAGTATAACTTGATTTGTTTCCAGTTTCTTGACGTTCGAAATTGACAAAGTCTTATTACGTGTGTTTAGGAGAAATTAGATCCGTGAAACAATGAGTACAACACAAATTGTTACTAATTTGGTAAGGAAATTGACGGAATGTATTGATTGCATTAAAAAATGCTTGTGTATTGTTGAAGAGTGTATAATTTCACCTTGTTCTCAAGTTTTTTTGCCGTTTGTTCGTGTATTTCTTTTTCGAGTTCTACAATTTATAGCGAGTAAAAAGGTAAAATTCATTATGTTAAGTCATGGTGTCTTGGGTTAAAGGAGAGACTGCTCCGCATGCAAGGTGACAAGTGGCTGCACGCCTTTTGGGGGATGGGACGTTTTTCCGGTTAATGGGCGGCAACCCTGGGAAGTGTAGATCGGCACTCCTGGCTATGTAAGAAGAATGCCGATGTGATTTCGAAGTGATCGGCCTGTGTTAGTGATTGGAGTATAATCCTTCGCTAACGATTTAAAGTATAAACCCTCGCTTACTCAAATCGGCTACTAATATGAGGAACCCAGTTATTGGAAATCTGGTGCTTCTATATTTCTATTACATTTGGCGACTTCTTAGGAATTGACAACTTTTATATTTCTATTACATTTAGTGGCTTCTTAGGAGTTGATCACTTTTAGATTTTATGTCTGTAAGTTGTTTCTAGGTTCTTAAATAATGCAGCCTACGGAGCAGCATTGATTAATACTGTTGTTTGATTTTCTGGTCACAGCATGCAGATGATGACTGAATTCTCTTTAAACTAACTTATGCTACTGCTCTGCCATTCATCAGATTCAGAGATGCAGTTGAAAGATGAAGATGGCGAGTTGGTGTCATCAGAAGCTATGCACATGAGCCAACCAAAAGAAAAAGGTAGATACTCAGGAGTAAGAATGAAAGGGCGTCAGGCATTGTCGAGGTCTGAAATTGCTTCCAATAAAAAATCAAGAACTGGAAAAACTTCAGTTTTGAATGTCAGTGCTGTTCCTGAAGAAAATCGGGATTTTCATCTTTCTATCCCTAAAACATCAAGAAGAAAACAGAAGTCGCAAATGCCTAAGGTATGCATGAATTCTTTCTGTTGCTTATCATTGTTGTGAATCAGAATTTTGCCAACTATTTTACCTGACAAATTTCTGCAGATTAAAAAGTCTGAATCTCAGCCTGATGTTCGTCTTAGTGAATCTCCTGGAATTGAGGTACCCTACCGTATGCTTGATAACAAACATCAGTTTCTGTAACCAATAAGACTTTTGTCCAGATATGATGAACCTTCTATATTTCTTTTTCTATAGGGGCACATATTAAGTTGAATGTTGGAATTGTGAAAATTTGAAACCTGGAACGAGTATCTTTCTTAATTACTGCAATGTGTTAGTTTTCTTGTTTTTCTGATTTCGTTTTTGTTTTTTTTGTGTTTTTGTGTTTGTGTTTTTTTTTTTTTTTTTTTTTTTTTTTTGAATATGTGTGGAATAGAAGAGCGATTCTGATTACTTGATGTTTATTCATAATTTANCAATGCAAGATATGTTATTCTGTAAACTGAAATGTGTGTATTCATCTGCCAAAAAGTTTCCTTCTTTACTTGGGATCTCTTTGAATCCTGGAATTTCTTTCTCTAGTCTGGAGATGCAGGCAAGATGTTAATCAGCAACAATAAGAGATCTTCACAAAGCGGTTCACCGAACTTGGTGAAAACTGCAGAAACTTGTTCTGTTGCTGATCTACGAGAAGAAGGTTGTGACCCAGCCCAATCAGATGTTAATGTTCTGGTGGCTGACCAGGTCAATTTACCTAAATATCGAAGCAGGCGCAAGATGCACCTCAGAAAACCAGAATTTCAGAAGGATTTGAAATTCCCTGATAAATTCTCAACTGAACTGCCGTTTGCTTCAATCCATGATGGAGAATCTTCTTTTAAGGTTAACTTTTCTATTTCTTTCAACTCCCAAAAGGTCTAGTGGAGTAACTGTATTACACTGTTTGTATTATGTCACACAGGAAAAACTTTCCAGTTGTTTGGAGAATCCTCATCTTAGGAGATGGTGTACTTATGAGTGGTTCTACAGTGCCATTGATTATCCTTGGTTCGCTAAGAGGGAGTTTGTTGAATATTTATACCATGTTGGGCTTGGTCACATGCCAAGATTGACTCGTGTTGAGTGGGGTGTCATAAGAAGGTATACTTCTTTAATTGAACAGCTTTATCTTTTTTATTTTATTTTATTTTATTTTTTTAAAAATGCTGATCATAATACGCATGGTGTAAGTAATCATGTTAACCGCGCACGAGTATTTTTAACTTTCTTGCAGTTCTCTTGGTAAGCCTCGGCGATTTTCAGAGCAGTTCCTGAGGGAGGAAAAGCAGAAGCTTAATCAGTACCGATTTTCTGTTAGAAAACACTACAGTGAGCTTCGTGATGGTGTTCGGGAAGGTTTGCCAACTGACCTTGCAAGGCCTTTATCAGTTGGACAGCGTGTAATTGCAATCCATCCAAAGACAAGAGAACTTCATGATGGAAGTGTGCTGACGATTGATCACTCTAGATGTCGGGTTCAATTTCACCGTCGTGAACTAGGGGTGGAATTTGTCATGGTATCTTCTTCATTTCATGTTATCAATTTTCTATATTTTTCAAATTCTATTGACATTGCTTTCCATTATATTGCTTCTTCTGCGTGACTATTTAATCCTACTGCTGTTATTTAAGCACAGTGGAAATAAGTTCCATGTACTTATTCTTTTCATTGCTGGTGAATATTTTTATTTTTTTAATTAATTTTGCCAATAAGATCTAGCTTTAGGTTAAAAAAATGCTTTTCAGCTCACGGGGCATAACCATGCAAATTGAAAAATCAAGTTCCATGTACTTATTCTTTTCATTGCTGGTGAATATTTTTATTTTTTTAATTAATTTTGCCAATAAGATCTAGCTTTATGTTAAAAAAATGCTTTTCAGCTCACGGGGCATAACCATGCAAATTAAAAAATGCATTCCCTCTTCCTCCCAAAATTCATTTCTTGCTTTCCGAGTGCATCTGAAATGCCTTGTTTCATCTTTGATGTGGGATGATGGTCTTTTTGCTAGTATCTGCCAGAGTATTTGCTAATATTGTTAACTACTATTTAGCTGTGCTTGGGAAGATGAAAACAATTAGAATACTTTGCATTTGCTGTTTTCTACAAATTCTGCAGATGCTTGCATCTTCTGTACTGTACGTCGTCATTTTATCCAATTTCTTTTGCTTCTCATTTGGTTTGCGATGCTTTGCGTTGACAGGATATTGACTGCATGCCATTGAATCCTTATGAGAATATGCCTGCATTGTTTGGGAGACATGTTGGTAACTTTTTTGAAAATCTCAATGGAGTAAAAATAGATGAGCGACCACCAGAATTCATGAAGCTTGGATCTGGTGATAATGTGGTTAACAGTAATGTTATTTCGCAATTGGCTCCAGCAGTAGGGCCTGCAGGTTTCTTGAAGCACACAAAGGCAAGTAGATCTGCCTAAATTCATGCTATTTTTATTTCTTCAATTATATATTAATTGAAATTCTCAGTGGTATTGGGCTCCACGGTCAGAGACATGAACCTGTGAACAGGAAATTATTCCAATTTATTCTTGTACAGAATATATGAATTTTTTAAGGTCATTCTTAAATGAACTCCATATCTGGTGTCCTGATTTTATTGTTCAATATTCTAGACTAATGAGATTATTACAATCCATGCAAAGGAAGCCGATGTTCGAGCTCTGGCCAAGCTGACTCGTGCTCTCGATAGAAAGGTTATCAGCTCTCACTAGCTAAATTTTCCGTCATTCTCTGCCTCTCAATTGACGTTCGTGTGCCCCTCTTTGTTTCAGAGAAGATCCTTTGTTTGCTTCTCTGTAGTTAGTTTATGCTTTGGTTTCTACCTCAATTTTTTACATATGGTATGAAGATTAGAAGTGGAGTTTCTTTGTTTCTCATGTTCTGTACTAAATATGAATTCAGGATGCTGTTGTTATGGAGTTGAGGCATCTGAATGATGATGTGTTTGAAAATCAAAAGAATGGTGATAGCTCTTTGAAAGAGTCCGAGCCATTTAAAAAGCATTATGCGGCTGTACTCATACAATTGAACGAAGCCAATGAACAGGTTTTTTTTTTCTTCGGTTACATAATTGTCACAAACCACACCTGAGAAGATGTAGCCTAATTGTAAAAACAACAATAATAAACAATAAAAAATCAAGTTATCAACATTGGTAGTATAAAAATACCTGCCTAGTTGAGGTCCAAAACCGCTTACCAATCACATCCTTCCTTCATGAGCGTAATTAGTAGAAACTGGAGTAAACAAATATTAAGTGCAATATGGATTTTACATCTCATGTATTTAT